CCCCCAGTGAGGGGGAAAGAATGAGATGTGGTCACAACAAGTAAAATGTGGTCTCAGAAAAGAGAATGTCTATAGCGAAATAGCTTGAAAAGCCAGTTCCCAGGGAAGGAGTATTGATTTAATTTCTCAATCAAAACTAATAGTGATGATATCAAATTCTATAATTCTCACCTTATTTATTAGATGAAAAAATCCTACACAAAAAAATTTCCCTCCAACCATTCTCTCATTTCCACAAAGTACAGTTGAATCTGTAAGACAAGATAAATGCTCAATTCATTTTTTTTTTTGTCAATGTTCATAACAAGAAGATGCTTTCCCAGCACACTCACTAGGGAGTGATTGACTGTTTTAAGTAGAAGGCTGTGTTATGATTTCATGTATTTTCAGATACCTGATATATTTTGACTCATTTGAGTTATTATCAAGGCTCACATTGCCCCATCAATGTCCAGGTGCATTCTCTTGAGGTTGGATCATAAATCCTTTCCATAAGATCCCAGTGATTTTTGAAAGCATCTTTGCTTTCTTGTTGACAAGAGAGTGAAGGCTCAACGGAAGCATTTGCCGCCTATTCCTAGAATCAGTAGTTTATTAATAAAACTCTAATTTTGGTGGGAAATAGCATTTGAAAACCACACTCTAGGCACTAAGGATGGTTATTGTCACCGGGCTCATTGTTATCTCTATTCCATTTCAATGGACTTCAAAACTGCACACACACACACACACACACACACACACACAAATAGAATTTTTGAAAATGATCTTATTTTTTTAAACTTAAGTTAATAACACTAAAGATGGACAATGAAATTATTGCTTTTTTAACTGTCTTAGACCAATTCATCCACCCAACAATATACAGTTAGAGTTTGACATTTCATTTTGATTTTAGAATTTTAACACACACACACACACACACACACACACACACACACACATATATATATATATATATATATATATATATATATATATATTTGTATAATTATGTACAAGATCAAATCTATGAAATCTTAGTATAACCAGGTCCAGCTTCTGTCCTTGTTCCCTCCACCCTGCTTCTCCCATTCCTATGTAAGTAAATTTTTGTTGGTTTAGTTTTTATAGTATCCTGTTATTGCCTTTTCATATATATTAAAAAGATATGTATTATATTTTATATATGTAGGGCACATTCTTTCTTATTAGAGAAATGGTAGGTAAACTCTACATTATGTTCTTCACGGTTTTGTTTTTTTTCTCACACTGAATAATGTATCCTGGAGATCTCTCCATACTAGTATAGAGAGACACATTTCTTTTTACAGTTGGATAGTCCTACACTGTGTGACTATAACTTAGGTAATACAACCAGTCCCTACTAATAGCCATTTGATAGGTTTTTGGTCTTTTGCTAATACAAATAATGGATGCAATAAACAGCACGATGTGTCATTTTTCTCTATTTTTCTCAGTGTAGTTAAGGAATAGACATTAAAATGGAAAATTGACAATGAATGAGAAAATGCATATGTACATTGGCAGCATACTGCTGACTTCCTTTCTGTAGGGTTTGGACTGTTTTTCTATTTTTACCAGCAATGCAGGAGAGGACCCGTTTTCCTCATACCATTGCCAAAAGATTATGCTAGTAAATGTTGAATTTTTGCCAAACATGGAGGTGTTCAATAGTATCTCACTTCAGAAATAGAGGTTCAATTTAATTAATATTTTATTGATTTTATTTTTTGTTTTGATTTGTTTTCTCTGAGTGTACGTTAATGACTTTTGATATATTCAAAGTACATTTAAATTAATTTTTCTCTGAATGTTTATTCCCATCTCTTGCTCCATTTTCTATCAAGTTACTGGTATTTTGTTTCTGTACCTTTAATTTTCTGTGTATAACAGAGACATTTACCCCCTTTGTTGTAAGCTGAAAAATATTACTGCCCCTAATTTGACATTTTTGCTTTAATTTCTCAAAAGTGTTTTTTATCCCACATTATCTGTGATTTTTTTATATGATCACATTTACTCATCCTTTTCTTTACTCTATTTTAAGTCTCAGAAATACTTTTCTTACCTCTAGGTTACAAATACAGTAAGTTATCCATGTTTTTTTCTTTTTATTTATATGCTTTTTTTACATTTAAACTTCTAATCTGCTTGCAGTTTGACTGGCATGAGGCAATGGATGCAATCTTATTTATTTATTTATTTATTTATTTATTTATTTATTTATTTATTGTATGGTTATACAGTTATCCCAAAGTTGCTTTATTACAACATCGTTAGCTTCCTTGATGTGGTATGCTGTCTTATAGAATCTAACTGTAACACAGTGTAATTAAATTGAATATAAATGAATAAGGAATGATTAAATTGGTCTGTTTCTGAATTTTCTGTTTTTGGTTCACCTGTTTCTCTATTGGTACAACAATATCACACTTCTGTAATCATAGAAATTACAATGCTTGCTTCCTGGCAGAGTTAGCCCTCCTTGTTCTTTTTCTTCATTGTGCTGAATAACTTCTTTTTTCCTTCATCCAGATGAACTTTATAATCTACCATTTAACTTTATAATCCACTATTTTTTACCTGCCTAAAACAATGGTGATGACAAAAATTTTAACATTACAGTTATACTATCTAAGAAAAGAGTGATATGCAAATTAACCACCACTCTGCTACACCCACAAGCCATGCCCTCCAGCCACGCCTGACAGCCAATGAGGAGAAAATATGCAAATAAACCTAACCAAGATGACTATGGTCACAGAGAGCAGGAGGGCAGCTTGTGTTTCCCTGGCAATGGAGGAAGCCAAGCTTTCCACCTGCTCTTGCCAGCCTAGGCCTCCACTCACGTCTGCAAAGTTTCAATGATAGAAGTTACCCAAATTCAAACAGAAATGGCGGCCTCGGAGCTGGAAGGAGCAGGAGGCTAGGCTTGCCACCAATAATGGAGGAAGCAAAGCTTCCTGCACACCTTGGCTGGCCCAGGCCTCCACTTAAGGCTACAAAGTTCAATTATAGAAGATACCTAAGTCCCAACAGAAATGGCTGCCACCACTGAGTGAGTAGAAGGCTTGGCTCTGCTCCAGGCTACAAAGTTTCAATTGTAGAAGATATATAAACCCCAGACACCAGGGCCTCTGCTTGGTTTGCCAGGGGGCATGGCTGGCCTGAAAACCACCACAGGCCCCTCACCCAGGCCACCCCATGCCCCAAGGAAACCCCCACCCTGATCCAGGACACTCTTCAGGCAAACCAGAAGGCTGCCACCTGTGCACCAGGCCTCTCTCCTATCTAATAAAAGAGTAATATGCAGATTGACCATCACTCCAACACACAAGACGGCTGCCCCCATGTGGTCAAAGGTGGTTGCCACCATGTGGACACAAGATTGCCACCACAAGATGGCCAGCAGGAGAGGGCAATCGGGAGGGACCAGGCCTGCAAGGGAGGGCAGTTGTGGGCAATCAGGCCAGCATAGGAGGGTAGTTGGGAGGGACCAGGCCTGAAAGGGAGGACAGTTGGGTGTGATCAAGCCTGCAGGGGAGGGAAGTTAGGGTTGACCAGGCTTGCAGAGGAGGGAATTAGAGGATGACTGGGCCTGCAGGGAAAGGCAGTTCAGAGGGACTCAGGCCTGCAGGGGAGAGCAGTTGGGAGGAACAGGTCTGCAGGAGAGAGCGGTTAGGAGCAAACAGGCTGGCAGGGGAGTAGTTAGGTATCAATACGTCTGGCAGAGGAGTGGCTAGGGGTGATCAGGCTGATAGGCAGTACCGGTTAGGGGCATTCAGGAAGGCAGGAAGGCGAGGAGTTGGGAGCCAGCAGTCCTGGATTGTGAGAGGGTAGTCGGCTATTCATTGAAAGGTCCCAGATTGGATAGGGTGCAGGCTTGCCTAAGGGACATTCCCACCCCCCACGCCTGTGGGTGAATTTCATGCACTGGGCCTCTAGTCCTATATAATCAAAGCCTAATATGTAAATCAACTAAACAGTGGAACTATCAGTGGAATGACTGATTGATCTGATGTGCACTGACCACCAGGAGGCAGACACTCAATGCAGAAGCTGCCAATTAGTGGTCACTGTGCTCCCACAAGGGGAGTGCCCCTCAGCCAGAAGCTGGACTCTTGGCTGGTGAGCGCAGCAGCAGCAGCAGCGGTGGCGAGAGCCTCTCCTGACTCCATGGCAGTGCTAAAGAGCAGCACATCAAGTGATAAGGATCAGTGAGCAGGTGGGTGGATATCCCCCAAGGGTCCCCAGACTGCAAGAGCGAGCAGGCTGACCTGAGAGACACCCCACTCAATGCACAAATTTTGTGCACCAGGCCTCTACTACAAAATAATGTTAGAGAAATATCTACTTTTTCTTCATCCAAAAACTTTGTAACTCATTATTTTTAACTTTATTATCCACTCTTTCTCAGCTAGGGAAAAGTTATGATAAAAAAATTTAAATTTATACTTATATAAGATCATGGTAGATAATTATCTACAATTCCAATGTATAAAATGCTTTAAACATGGATCAGATTTTAATTCAGTCAAATGTCTTGACTGTACTAGGTAATTTTTTACTTCATCTATTAATAAGATGTGTTGTAACAATAAATTTTGGTATGAATATTTCCAAATGAAATAGGTCTATACCTTTATTTTTTGGTCAAATCTCTGTTAGCCTTTAGAATCAACATCACACTTGATTCATAAAATAATTGAAAGATTTCCTTTTCTTTATATGATCAGGAATATCTCACTTAATATTGAAATGGTCAGTGTTGTAGAGGTTTAAGTGAATTCTCCTGTGAAAGCACCTGGACATAGCATTCTTTTGTGGGAAAACTCTGCTTTATTATTTCCTCCAGATGAGAAATAGGTGATTAAAAATTTTCATGGAGGACAAGAACAAAGAAAACAGGTTTGAGAATGGTCCCCACTTACCTAAGTATCCTTTACCCTTCCTTGAGGTCTTATTGGTACCTGCACCCCAGAGCCTCTTGAAAGAAGATGGCTGGCCTTGAGGACAACACTCTGAGGATGGTTCTGGTGGGGAAAACCGGAAGTGGGAAAAGTGCAACAGGAAACAGCATCCTTGGCAGAGAAGCATTTACTTCTAAAATTGCTGCTCAGGCTGTTACCAAGAAATGTCAAAGAGTAATCGAAAACTGGAAGGGGAGGAAACTTTTTGTCGTGGACACCCCGGGGCTCTTTGACACCAAGGAGACCCTGAAGACTACCTGTAAGCGTATCACTGAGTGTGCCCTCTTGTCCTACCCTGGGCCCCACGCTATCATCCTAGTTCTACAACTGGGCCGCTACACTGCAGAGGAGCAGAAAACGGTTGCATTGATCAAGAACCTCTTTGGGGAGAAAGCCATGAAGCACATGATCATCTTGTTCACTCGCAAAGATGAATTGGGTGATCAGACACTGCATGAGTTTATAGAAGCATCAGGGGTAAACCTGCAAAGCATGATCAAGGAGTGTGGGAACCACTGCTGTGCCTTCAATAACAGGTCACGTGATGAGGCTGAGAAGGAAGCTCAACTGCAGGAGCTGGTGAAGCTGATAGAAGAAGTGGTACAGGAGAATGGAGGGGCTCACTTTTCTGATGCCATCTACCAGAATATAGGGGAAAAGTTGCAATGTCAGGAAAAGGCCTTAAAGGAAATCTATGCTGATCAATTACAGAAGGAAATTAAACTACTTGAAGAGCAACTTGCTAAGGGGAAAATATCAGAGCAAGAAAGGATGGAGAAGAAAAAAAGTAGAATGGAGTACTATAATGAAAGCATTGAAAATATTAGGGAAGAAGCTGAAAGAAATATATTTAAAGATAGTGTTAATTGGATCTGGAATTCATATTCAAAAGTATGGAATCTGTTTTGAAAATAATGTAAATTTTATTTCTTAATTTAGTATGATTTGTTAATGTGGTTAATTGTATTTTCCAAAGATGCCTCCAACATTGTATTCAATCCCACCCATTCTTCTTGTTATCTTAGTTTATTTTTCCTACTGTTGAATTATAGGGTTTATCCTGTAACTTGAAATTCAATGGCCTTTGTGACTGCTTTGACAACCAGTGTGTGGTTGTGACTTCAAAAGTGAGATAGGAAAAATGCCTCTTTGTTCCCTAGTGTTTGTGGGCTTGGCACTTGGCAACCATGTGGTGGGGGAGCCACAGTTGCCCATTGAGAGGCCATGTGAAGAGGACTTGAAGTCACTGGCCCACACCCCTGGCTGGTCTTTCATCTGTCAGCAGAACCAAGTTGCCACCCATGCAAGTGAGGCAACATGGAAGCAGATTCTCCAGATGCCACTGAGCCACCTCAGATGAAGCAGCAAAGAGCAAAGATGGGCCACCCCCACTTCATCCTATCCGGATTGCAGATTCATGAGAAAAATAAAGTTTGTTGATTTAAACTTCTAGGCTTTGGGATGGTTTGTTATGCTGTGATAGTAACCACCAGCATCTTCCCTGCTCACTCACCACCAATACCCACAATGCTAACAAATGGAAGAAGTTATAGAATTGGCATAATTAGGCAATAATATTTTATTTTATTAAGAGTTCACAGACTCAATTTAGAAAAATTCAAATCAGATATCCTTCATGTTCCAAGTGTTAGCACACACATTTTTTCAGTCCACGTTTGCATGTACCTTGTTAGTGAAGCAGTTGGTTTCTCCAGCAAGATGATTCTGTAGTTCACGTGAGGCAGGAGAGAAGGAAGCTAGGAAAAGTCCTGGATGAATGGAATGAGAAAACAGAAGAGAAGATGGGAAGCTTATAGGTAGTTTGTTAATCACAAAATCTTATCTTCCCCAACCAGTGGCACTTGGGAGCAAGTGGTTTGTACATCTCCTCCCTAACCAGAGAATACATAGCTTAAATCAGACTGGTCTGGGAAGTAGAGCACAAAGACCCAGTTCATGCTATTTGTGCCAGCTAAACACAAGGGCAGATGAAGTCAGAAAAAAATATAAAAAAATATATCATTTGTGCCACATCAAAGCCAGGCACAATTAAAATAAAATAAAAGAGTGAAACAGACAAAAGAATAATCCAAAACTCCCCTATACACTTATCTTGATACATCAGCATATTAATAATGCAACTGGAAAGCTGATTGGAAAAACAAAAAAGAGAAAATTTCCTCAAGACAAAAAATCACTCTTGCACAAGTCCATGCCCTATACCAGGCATGAACTTTTTATTTCTCCCTAAATTCTGTGGAGCCCTATGACGAACGTGCAACCAGGGGAGTAGTGGGCAGTGGTACACAGCCTCAGTCCCTGATCCTGTCTCCCAGGCCCCCTTTTCCCTGACTTCCCACTGAGCTGAAGTAGTCCCAACTTGGCTCACTTCTTTCCTATAATATTTCTAGAGCCAAAGCAGCCCCACCTAGGCTCTCTGCTGTTGCTTCTTCTATCCTAACCCCTTCTTTTATTTCACTGTCCCCAGCTTTAATGAGCATCCTCTTTCCTGCACCAAGCCAAGAACTCACACACTATGGGCCAGTACCTTTCTGGTGACATGTGGATGTTTATAAGCTCCTAAATTCTCTTCTTGATGTTCTCTCTTCTTTTTTAGATACCGTCTTAAAATGTCCCTGACTATAACTTAAAAATATCTAATGAGCTAAATATATTTCATTTGCATCTGTAGATCCAGGCTTTGCCCTCCTTCAACCTGGCTCTTTGTCCCAGGAGGTTGATCTATGTGGATTATATTGTTACCAAACTCAAGGGCTTCCCCACTTGGGGTGTCCTATTCCAGAAGGAGACATGGTTGTCACAGGGTAGTTTTATTTACTTGTAGCAAGTTAAGGAGACAGGGGATTCGTATCAAAAGCTCTGTCTCCCCAGAGGGAAAGGTTTAGCCATTCTTTACACGATTTGGTCAATTATACCTTTCTTTTCTTTTCTTTCTTTCTTTCTTTCTTTCTTTCTTTCTTTCTTTCTTTCTTTCTTTCTTTCTTTCTTTCTTTCTCTCTCTCTCTCTCTCTCTCTCTCTCTTTCTCTCTCTCTCTCTTTCTTTCTTTCTTCTCTCTCTCTCTCTTTCTTTCTCTCTCTCTCTCTCTCTCTCTCTCTCTCTCTCTCTCTCTCTCTCTCTCTCTCTCTCTCTCTCTCTCTCTCTCATTTCTTTTCTTTTCCTATTGGCTACATTTGTCCTGTTGAGTTCTTGTCAAGCTCATCCTGTTTCCAACTGTTCTCATAAATTTAATGTTTAATAAGAATAGCATTTAGTCAGAATGGCCCATACATTGAGACCCTTGTCCTATCAAACAACATCAGTGGATCTCTGGCTCTCTGACAAATGCTTGACTTCTGCCAATGGGAAGTTCAAGCAGGAGATCTCTTCTGGGTAGAAAAGCAAGGTCTGGGTGTTTGTTCTCTTGTCTCTCTCCTTGCAAATTAATCTCTGGCCAGCTGCAACGCTAGTTGAAGATCACACATTCTCTAAGGTGCAGGTTCCAGTCCTCATCGCCTTAGGTTTAGCATGTAATTTTCTTACTGTTGCCAGCAGTCTACCTTGTCACATCCCTGAGTCTGCGGCTTATAGAAAACCATGCACTTGAAGCTTCCCCAATTACCTAATTAGAATGGGACATCTCTGTTGCTAGACTCTTAATTAAGAAATCTCAATGATAATCAATCTCTTTTGTCTTTCATTAATGCCCTGATCTTTATTATTGTTTCTTGTAAAAATTTCCTCTAGTGTTTCTGACACCAGAATATCTCTTGATCACTCTGCCATTGCTCAAGCAGAATGTTTTATGTTCATACCTGATTAGTCTGCCAAGGTACCATCTTTGCTAAATCACATGGGAATACCAGTCAATGCCCTGCGTGATCTGCCCCCAGTTTAGGGCACTTTCTTAGTCCATGGATGGGGTCATAAGTTTCTGGGTGAAAAAGATGCCCCTGATTTTAGAAACTGGTGTCCTAGCTTGCATTTTCTCTCACAGGTGATTGTATTGTTGCTGTGGCATCTGAGAGGGCAGCCATCAAATGAGCCACATGCATGCTAGTGAAGCCCCTGCTGACCTCTCAGGGCACACAACAGAAGGGTTTGGGGCATATTAAATTGTAAGAGCTGGTCACCACGAATGGAGTGTTGCTGATAAATGGGGCAATGCTCTCAAGTCTGGGCTGTTCTTACTAAACGCTAAAATGCAGCACAGTATTCTGCAGAGAAACTCTAACAGGGATGAACTTGATCTGACCCATGACTGATAAGTTTATCCAGTTATAAAGAAGAAATCAACATGTAATTTACCAAACTGAATATATAAGCCTCCCCTAGGACAGGCAGAGCTTTGGAAATTACTCCCCTGTCTCCTTTACTGGTCTCAAATATAACTTTCCCCCCACCAAGACTGTGTTCCTTTGAACCCAATATGTTCTGCTACGCTGTACAAGGTCATGGAGAAGATGTGACCTCCAGTTGACCCAAAGTATGGACCAAGGCAATTGGAGGCTCACCCCAACTGTCTGTGGAATGTGCATTCAGCTTGCCTTTTCCCTTCCCAGCAGTTGCCTCAAGGATACAGCCTGAAGCTAGACATGTGTTGCTGAGACCAGTTGAATGTTGCACATGACTAGGCCCAGCTAAGGGCTCTATATCAACTTTTCAGATCTGGCAGGCAGCTGCTGAGAATCTTTATCTTTGGGCCACTCAATGGAAGCCTTGTAAGTAAGTTCTCTGGCCTATTAAACTGCTACCTAACCACCTGCAGTGGTCTGCCTCTTTCTTAAGTCTCTTTCTGCCCTCACATAAGGTGAGTTGCTTTCAGATTATTCCGGGGAGATTTTGAACTACCATATGCTTTGATTTATTATTTATTTATTTATTTATTTATTTATTTATGGGATGAATACAGTAACTCAATTTTCTTTTCTTAAATTTATTTTTTCTTTTTATTAAATTTGCTGAAGTAATGCTTGTTAACAAAATTACACAGGTTTCAGGTGCACAATTCTGTACTCTCTATTGGGTGTTCACCACACCAAGTCAGGTCTCCTTTCATCACCATATATCCCCCATTCTCCACCTCCCTCAACACACCTAGTCACCTCACTGTTGCCCTTGCTCATTATATTTTTCTTATTTTTTTTTTTACTCAATTCCCCTAGCTCCCTATGCTCATGACACCTGCTACCGGATCCAGCCGACATCACAGGTCCAGCATCACAGGTCCTGCAGGTAGGGCTAAGAGGTTTTAAGAGAAATAAAGACAAGAGAAAGTGGGACTTCAGGAGGACTGCTAGTCCATGATGAGATTAGTTGCAGAAGTACATTTATGCAGCATTTCTGGGCATTTCTCCAAGTGCCCCTTTCCCAGGACAAGGCCGCCCGTCAGCTCCTCAAGACATTCTTGGAAAAGATACATAGAGCAAGCATCTGGTTAGATATCATTGAGAACAGCCTAGCTGAGAACATCCAGATAAGTCGTGCATCACGCGCACTCTCTAACAATGGGGCTATGGTCTCCCCTGTCCCTAGTTGATCCTGAAGGCTTAGGGGAGAGCAGGTAGGCGTCCCTACCCTGCGCTCAATCCCCTGTAGGAGAGCAGGTAGGCGTCCCTACCCTATGCTCCATCCTTGCCCTCGGGCCCCACGGAACACGGCTTCCCACAACCTGCTCTCCATCTATGTCTCTCAAAAACATGTTTTTAAAAGAGCAGACTCATCTATGTTTTTATTTTTTTAAATTTCTTTATTGTTTAAAGTGTTACGTATGTGTCCTTATTTTCCCATTATCCCTCCATCCCTCCCCCCCGCCACCACTCATGCCCTCACTCCCTTGTTTTCTGTGTCCATTGGTTAGCCCATACTTGCATTTATTTTTATGAGTATTTTTCTGTTACACGAACTGGAA